ACAAGTCGGGATGAGGAACTCGATGAGAGAGCGGAAGAGCTGCCACGAACGGACTTGCTTCTGGCAGTCCACGGCGGCGACGTTCACGTTGACGGCGGCCATGGCCTCCAATTACTCAACAATAACAAGATACGTTTTTTTGTTTGTTGAGTTACAAAGAGTGAGTGGGTTTTGGGTTTAAATAGTGAAGCCAAATTAAATTTTGGAAGATGCCCACGTTCACATGAATAACTTTTTTGAAAAATCCAACCCTCAACGTCAATTTTGGGTCACAAAAAAAGCAACCCCTTTTTTTCCTCTCTTCCTTTTTTTAATTGTAATTGTAATTACAATTATTGTTGTTTTGGAGGACTCGTTAAATAAAAATTGATTTGATGGCTGAATTTTAATGGTTGAGGCTCTGATTGGTGGCAACATTTTCCATGGTTGATATTTGATTTACGCAATTATTCCTCTATTTTTATTGGCTGTCAAAAGATATATCCACTTGATATCTATTGGATTGGATAAATATGTAGGCCCTTATTTTACATAGTAACCCAGAGAACTTGATCGTTTGCTTTGACTTTTTTTTTTATTAATAAAAATTATTTTGTAAGCCAATAATTGAGTGATAATAATTTGTCATCAATAAAAGGGAAAAGAAAAGAGTAAATATGTTTCCATTTTTCCATTAAAATGAAATTAAAAAATGTAAAATACAACCTAAGTTTGTAACTTTGGTTCAATTAATTGGATTATCCCTCCTAACAAAAGATATAATTGAAAGATTAAAAAAAAGGGAAAATTGTGGGGATGAGAACTCCGTACAACCAGAAGAACCTTATCATGTAATGATTAGGAATTTTGGAGCATAGATACATGTGAGGCATAGAATTCCAAAAAATAAAATACACAACTATTCAACTTAACTACTCTTTTATTATGACAAGTCGACTTTTATGAATTTCTTTAAAGGATAAAAAATAAAAAAAAATGTAATTTGTAAAGCAGAGAGAAAGAAATAAAAAATGTGGGTCTGCGGAGCCACCCACATAGGAAGCACTAGATTTTGGTGCTTTGTTGTTTTATGGAAATAAAATATGAGAGACAGAGGGTATTTTTGGAGGGACTTGGAGGCAAAAGCCTGGTGCTAGGGAGCAGGATAATTCAAAAACCCTTTCCTTTCACCTTTATGCCCCTTCCTTTTCTTCCCTTTCTCATTTCTATTCTCTCTTCATCAATCTCATACAGTGAAACTCCCACCATTTCCATTTCTTTTTTTCTTTTTTTAACGCGATACTGTTGTCGACTTTTATATGATGGGAGGAAGAAAAAAACACGACTCGATAGGTTGTTGGATTGATGTATGTATGTGTGTATATAGTCAATATATATCGTAGTGTTTGTTGGGAAATAAGAATACTTGCTATTGATTGGTTAGGAAGAATTTTGTATTAATCATCATTGTAAGAGGAGAAAGATTATTTTTAAAAAAATAAATAGTTGTCAAATTTTTTATTAATTTTTTTTTCTCTACACATGAAAGATTTTCTTTTAAAATGCTTTTTGGCATTTAAAATGGGAACTTTTTGGTTGAGTTATTGAACAAGAAAGGGACGAAATAGAGGGTGCGTGGCAAAGACAAAACTCAGTGCGCCATCTCACTCTCGGACTTCTTGTTGGCAACCCCAAAACAAAACCATTTTCTCTTCTTCATTCCCCACATACGAATCAATTTTATTTCACATTTTCTTTTTAATTTTCTTTTCAAAGTATGTTTACTGCTAAATTATGATCATGGTCGTTATATTTTCATCCCTACAAAAAAAAAAAAAAAGTTGTTAGTATGTACATATGACTTGTCTAAATTTGGATTAATTTTGAAAAATATATTGAGTGCTAACCATTTTTATTTCTAATTTTTCTGTTTTCTATTTTTGGTTAACCAAACATGTTTGATAGATGCTTTTAGTTTTTAAGAAATTAAGGAGTTAGAGATATATGCTAAAGAGAGAAAATTTTAACCTGTGTATAGTAAAGATGGCATCGGAGTCGGCGACCCTTTGATTTGAATCCAAGATCTCAAGGATAATCTTAAGAAAGATACGCGCCCCATCCTTGATCCCATTGTGAATGAAATTACTGATAAGGACTCTCTTTAAAGGTACCAAATGCACCTTCTTTTTTTTCTCTCTCTCTGTCTGGCCCAGTTTTAAATAGATTCCAACGATGTTGTGAATGTGCAGAAAGGGCTACAAACGGGCCGGGCCCAGCAGCTTGGTGGCACCTTCTGGGATCATGGGCCGTTAATTCTGAGTCAGCCCACACCGTCCTCCTGCAAGAAACAAACAAACAATTACAAAGATTGGGAAGCGGGCCATGGGAAAAGGTTTCCATTTTCCAATCCCAATCCTGCCCCTCAAATCATTTTGAAAAATACGGATCAATAAATATACATATGGATATGGATGAAGCGAAGCCAACATTTGGCCGTTTGTGACACCCACGGAGGCCGAGGCATCCATATGTTTTTCCATCGCCTCCAGCTTACAGAAGTCGGTTTATTTGTGGTTTTGCGGCAAATGTTTGTGACGTGCCACCACTGCCCCTCCGACACACGTGTTTTAGACCCTACTCCCTGCTCCTGCATGCTGCATGCCTGCCTGCCTGCCGGCCTTTTAACCTTAACCTTATCCGCTCCTCCTACGCTACAACCTTATACATATATGTTATATATATAGCCAGAGCTGTCCCTGACGACCTCACATGTAACTTTTACTGTCCAACTAATTATGACTCCATTTCACATTCATTTGCATTTGCTTTTGCTCCTCTTTTACGCATATTATTTATTAGGCGCCAATGCTTTCTCGGGAGATCAAGAGGAAGTCGAAGCTGAAGCTGAGTACTTGAAGTTGGGGCCGGCATTGAGCCGCCCCGTAGCGGTGCTCATTGTGGTGCTTGTTTCTATTTTCTTCATCATGGTGTTTCTCTCCGTCTATCTCCGCCATTACCTGGAGTTACACGCCTCTACTCGGGCCACCGTCACCGCTGACGGCGTCAACCGCTTTGGAGCGTTACCAATGTGCGGTCTGGACCCGGCCGTCATTCGGACGTTTCCTGTGGTCGTCTACCACTCCGACTCCGCCGTCAAGGACCACATGGAATGCGCGGTCTGCCTCGCCGAATTCCAACACCACGAAACGCTGCGTTTGATTCCCAAATGCGGTCACGTTTTCCACCCTCATTGCATCGACGCCTGGCTGGGCTTCTGCGCCACGTGTCCTCTATGCAGAGCCGAGCTTGTCTCGGGGTCGGATTCCCCGGATAAGTCCACCGCCGCATCGGAATTTGACGATCATCGTGGCGTGGTGATCATCAATGTGGACGAACCGGATTATTCGAGGGAACAACGGTTGGATCGCGACGGCAATTACGAGGCGGGGAATTGAGCAAGATGAAGCGCTTGGGTAGGTACTACCACTACGGCGTCGTATTGCGCTTCTTGGAAACAAATTTGAGTGCAATTATTATTGCATGTGAATTCGTTTGGTTTGTGTATAAGTGAATGGGGTTAATTAATAAGTTTAATTTTTTATACTTTATTGTTTAATTGCAATTGGTTTTTAGCGCTTCTTTTGTTACTAATTTCGGTTAGCTCAGCTACTTTGACATCAGTTGTATTATTATATATTGTTTGAATGATAAAGTGCTACTGCTAAGTAGTGACTCCTTTAATTTAATTTTGATGAATAAGAGACAATATTGGAAAAACAGAGACATTTCTTTTCTGTTTTTCCGAAAAGACAAAGATTTTCCATTTTTTATTGGTTGTCTATAATAAGATATAGCTATATAAATATATATGGACTATTACCTAAATATTTTTCCTCCCACCTATTCAATGGTACCTTAAAGGAGAAGGATGTTGATGTAAAATTTGGATCCAAAGTTACGATATTAAATGCTCCAAACGAATTAATACTTCCATGCAAAATGAGAGATTTGTTGGGTTTATAAGAAACGCAAACAAAATCCTATAGAAAAGAGCATGAAACATATAAGTATATAGATTAGGATAATTATCTTCATAAGTATAAGGCCTAAGTATAAGGCCTTTTGGATGAAATCAAAAGTAAAGTTGTAAGGGCTATGCTCAAAACGGACAATATCATGATATTGTGAAAATACTCGAAATACTTGGAGTATCATAGTCCTTAGCAAGATCTGCACATCGATATAGTGTTGAACTCAACATATCTTTATGTGTAAGTCGAACATTTAGTTAAGTTAAGCATAGTAAAGAGTAAATTTGTGAAAATGTTGTCCATACAATCTCTCCTCTTATTTATAGAGGGAGAGTCACCTTCATTTCGATACTGAGTGAATCGTGGTCGGACGTTATAGCTTGGAGCTAGCTCAAGATGATTTACCACCCCTACTTAAATAGATTAAGTCAAATCCATCTCGTCAAGTGGTTATATAAAAATATGGTATATTTTAAATTATATCATATTCAAATCAAAATAGGGTATATTGTAAATATTTTTATTATGAAATATTTATGACATACGAGATATATTAATATTTTTTATTAATAAAATTTGGAAACCAGCCAAAATGCTTATTCAGTAACAGACCTTTTTTTGAAGTTTAAGGACCCCTTGCTATAAAATTGAACAAACTATTGTATTTGATGGAATATTTTCCTTTTTTTATATCGGGACTCTTATCATACTTCTTTGTTTCCAAGAAGATTAGATTATTAAAAAAAGGAAGTTTGGTGTGGCATCTTTCTTTTCATTACGCTTATATTGTTTGGATCTGTGTGTGACACATATATAGTATAAAGAGGGTTCAGTTTAAGGTAATAAATTATGCATGATCGATTACAATATAAAGCTGAAACTAAAATGAAGAAAACAATAATGTCATGTAATGTTTTGAATATATATTTTCTTTATAATATACCAATTATGTAATGTTTTGAATATATATTTTCTTTATAAGATACCAATTATTGATAAATGTGCGATAAGGTATTCTTTGGTAATATAGAAATTATATAGTTAACAGTTAAGAGTGTGTTGGGTTGGTAATCAAAAAACAGAAATTTGAAAACAAAATATTTAAAAAATTTTCTGTGTTTTCAGATATATGTTTGGTAGCAGATTCGGGTTCAAGGTGTGTTTAGTAATATATTTGTAAACTAGAAATAGCTACAAACTAAGAAAAAAAAACTAAATTTTAGTTTTATCTAAACTTATATTAATTAATTTATTAACAATTTTTTTTATGAATTTTGTATAATTATTATTTTACATGGTTATATAATTTAGAATATATTATGTTTTTAACAAATATAAAATGAGTTTATAATATTAAATATTATATTTATCAAAGTTTTTATCATTTTTAATGTAATTCTGCTCTTATAAATTTCAAATTGTGAATCAGAAAACATAAAAAAATCATTTTGGAATTTCTTTGGACGTGTGAAACAGGCCCTAACATTTTCATATATTTGGGTTGATCCGCTCCAATACTAAAATAGTCTTCAAATTAGCACGATTGGGCCGTTGAAATTTGGCATGCCAAGGCCCAATATCAATACGTCGTTTACATTTCAAACTATTACATTATTAGGAAAACTGAAGTTAGTATTCATTTTGACTTAAGACATTTGAAAATAATTAAATTTTTTAGCAAAAATTAATAAGATATGGTAGTAGGTTAGGTTACATAAAATTAAATCACCTTTTTCCTTTGTTCAAAAAAAAAAATACCTTTTTCCTGGCAAACACTTAGTCAATGGTTTAGTTGGCATTCGGTTTCCCAAATTTCTTTCAAAGGATTCACAAAGTTCTGTTGGTAACAATATAACACACAATGATCCCAACATGAAAAAAATTGGAGATTCAAAACTATTATTCATCTCTAATCAGATGTACAAAGGATTCGTTCTTTTCTCTACAAATAAATCGGTCCAAGCAGAACAATTAATGAATCCTCAAATAATCATAGCTATTAAAATTAAAAAAACAACTCTATGAATGTCTGAGATTAAGGGAAAAAAAAAGCATAATAAAATTTTCAGCACAAAAATAAAAAATCAAAAGTATCTCATCAGTGAATTGAAGTTTCAATTAAGATCTTAACCCAGAGATCTACGCTAACACCACCGCGAACAGGGTTCCGGCCAGAGCGATACCGAATGTGGCTGCCCGGCCGATTTGCGACGCCGCTCCAGCTGGGTTGTCGGCCGGCGGTGGTTGGGGAGCTGGTGAAGGCACGGGCACCCCGTTTCCGGCAGGTGAAGGAGGAGAAGGGAAAGCTGGAACAGGAGCACCGGCGGGAGATCCACTAGGCGAAGGAATAGGAGTAGGAGTAGGAGTGGAGGTTGGAGCTGGGGAAGGTGCTGCCGGCGTCGGCGAAGGAGCTTCCGGAGCAGGTGAGGGTGATGCCGGAGTCGGAGCAGGTGATGGTGCTCTGTTTGGCGATGGAGTCGGAGCTGGAGGGAAAAAGACCGGAGAAGGCGCCGGAGGTTGCGACGGTGCAGGACCTGGCGACTGAGCCAAGCACGACGCCGCCAACAAAGAAAAAATAACAACCACTCGAACGCCGGAGAATCCCATCGTCTTCACCGGAAAGAAAAAGAAGAGAGTTCTCTTTTCCACACAAAAAAAAAACAGAGTATCTGGGAGTAACAGAGTTGAGTTCAGTGGCGGCGACTGCAGAAAAAGGAGGAAGAAGGTAGTGGAAGCTAAACGACAGCGTTTTAATCAAACGATTTGCTCCCGGAATTTGATTTGCTTGTACTTGTTGCCGGTGTCAATCCTATATATATAGGCTTTTTCCAAGGAAGCTTCTGGGCTGGAGAAATCAGATGCGCGTGGACCAAGTAAGCAAGCAATCCAGATTCCGACACGTGTACTCGTCGATTTTTCACCGCGCTGATCAAATCATACATTTTCTACTCGACAGTTTCCACCCGTTGGATCCACCACGTGTCGGTGGCAAAGTGTTCCACTCCGTATTCTAATTCTACATCTCTGAGAGACGTTAGTCCAGGGTGTCAATCAACGACGCGTGGTGTAATCCCATTTGAGAAGCCTGCCGCAAAATTCAATCATATGCATTTAATTTCGCCGAAAATATTTAATCGATATTTTGATATAAATTGTAGCCGTTGGGTTGTGTGAAAGGAGGGAGAGAGAAGGGAAATCTGGTAACCGACGAAAATGGAAAACGGGGAAAAAGTTTCCAATTCGACCCCGGAAGATAAAGTAATAGATATTGTAGCCCAAGGGAAATCGTTTTTGTAGAACAGAACACTGGAATTGGAAATTAGTCGAAAATATTGTGTAATAAATAATAATTATGACAGTGAATGGATGGGAGAAATTTGCTACAAATTTGCTGTCTCAAACGTTAACGTATGGTGTTACTTTCTTGAAATACAGTCGAATGAGAACTGGCAATAGCTGGCGAAAATTTTATATATAAACAACTGCGTATATTTTTGACCAATGGTAAGTATTTAGTTTCCATTTTAATCTTTCTTGTAGATTTTTATATCCGGTATTAATTATTGTCCATTTAATATTCCTCTCAACTAGGTTCTAATACATATGTTTATGGAAAATTAACAATTAGAACCGATCTTATAAAAAACAAAAGAAAACAATGTGAATCCAAATGATTTTTTTAATACACAAACTAAAATAAATATCTTAAAAATTATAATACCGGAATCTTAGAAAATACTAATACATTACGAAAAAAATTGAAAAGTTTAAAAATCAAATAAAAATATTATTTTTAATTCAATATAATGGAATGAGAGATCGAACTTCCGACCCCAAGAAAAAAGTAAAATGACTGGCTATACTCGATTGACATCAAAATATAATAATTGATATAGTAATGGGACAAATTAATTTATAACCTAACTTTTCTTTCTTTTAATGCAGTATAATAATAATTAAAATTATTTTTGTGCGGTGTCTTGTAAGAGAACATTAAGGGGGAAAACTTAAGGAGGAAGTTAGTGATTTGACCCCAAAGAAAGGAGTTTTCTTAGGATACTTCCATTTTATTTATATATGTTTGGTAGGGCTTGAGACTTGAGACTTGAGAGCGTAAAAAGTCGTAATACAGCGAAGTTGGGTAACCTACGCAAGCCTATGATTTAACGCGGAGTTGATCACAGTGCACCACAATCTGACGCGTGGCCCGGCAAGTTACCTGTCACCATTTATACTTATTTTTCTTTTGATAAAAGCCACCATTTACACATTTGTTGTTCATATTGAAATTTATTTATCATACATTAAAATTAATTATGAAAATTTTCAATTTATACTAAATAATTAAAATTATTGTAACTATTAAATTAAAGAATTATAATCATTGACTTCCCCCCTTTTTTTTCGCTTTTTCCGGCCCTTTGGCTAGTCCGTTTTCTTTGATACCTATGTGTTTTAAACTAAGAAGAAAGAAATCGAGGAGGAAGACACATAATAAATATGGAGAAACAAATTTTGATAGAGAAGAGTAAAAGAGATAGGAAGTCTTTTAGGGTGCGTTTGGTTGATAATCAGAAAACATAAATTTGAAAATAAGGGATGGAATGAAAATGAGAGTTGTATTTTTTGTTTTTAGTGTTTGCAGATATGTGTTTGGTAACAGATTTGGTAATTGAATGTCAATTTAAAAAATTGTTCTGTGTTTAGTAATATATTTGTGAAGCATAAGTAGTTGCAAACTAAATTTTAGTTAATCTAAACTTATATTAATTAATTTATTAACCTTTTTTAATAGATTTTGTATAATTGTTACTTTACCAGGTTATATAATTTACAATACATTATATTTTACATGTTTTAATTTTAACAAATATAAAATAAGTTTATAATATGAAGTAATATATTTATCAAAATTTTTATGAATGTAATTCTGCATCTTCAAAATTTCAAATTCTAAATCTGAAAACACTGAAAACATACAAAAATTGTTTTTAGAATTTCTACTGTTTGGATTACAGAATCCGAAAATAGTTTTAAAAAACGAATATTAAGAATCCGAAAAAAGAGTGGGTAGTGCCACCCGAACTACATTTTTTTTTAATGGATGCTCATTTGAGCTTTTGACTCTGGTACCATATCAATGAGATTCCATCTAAAGCCAATTGGTAATTAGAGGAGTAACACAAATATATTATAAATCATTTTTAGGTCATTTACCTTTTTAATATGAGATCTTTAATAAAATTTATTCATGCTAACATGAACATAGTCTAACGGTGAAGGCATCTTGTTCATTTTTTAAAGGTTGAAGGTTCACTATCTTATTCCCATATTCGTTGAGCTAAAAAAAACACTTTCTAATATTATTATTTTAAAGTTTTATTACTTTTTTGGGTCCTTCTCTTCCTGTAAAATTTATATAATATCAATTGAAAAATAGTACATAATAAAAATTAAATAGATATGTTTTCAAAAGGAAAAAAAAATGATGAGTGTCGTAGAAGGATCGGCAACATGAAAATAAAGTTATTAATTTACTTGAAAATAATTTAAGTTTTAATTTGATAAAATAAATATTTCATTCATCCATAAAAAAAATCACTCATTTCAATCTTTTAGATGATTGAGCAGATATTAACTTATTTATCTTGAAATTGATTGTTATAAAAAGATTGACCCATTAAAATGTTGGTGTAGCAATAGTGGATAATCACATAAAAATTACCATTTTTTCTTTAAAAGAGAATAGTTGCATGGATGAGAAATAAACCTTACCACATTGGACTAAAGTTCAAGAGACATTGGTCTCATTACCATTTTTAAATTTATATATCGTCATTTCTTTTAATATTTGATGATTATAATGACTACGTTAAAAACGTAAATGATAAAATTAAAACTTAAAAAAGAAAACAGAGGCCAAATTGAAAAAAAAAAAAAACAATGACCAAGGGCCAAAAGCATATATTTAGGCCCAAAACAATCTGTATTAAATCATCAATTATAACTTTATTTAAAATATTCGGATTCTTATGGAAAAAAAAATGACTCTCCTAAAATTAGCTTTTTTTTTTTTTTTCATGGGAAAACTATGGAGTTTGAATTGAACGAACGAAGCCCCATCATAGCACCTCGATCATCTTAAAACTACGGCACGAGATCCAAATTGGTACTCCTGCTCCTGCGCCTGCGCGCTAAAAACTAGGGGCGGTGGCCATTAACGCCCTCTCAGGCAACCCTTTCCTCTGTTCCCGCAATTTCCCCAACCAAATTTTACAACCCAATCGAAAACTCACAGTTTCGGAATTGGAATTTAAGATGGAGCAGCCGAAGCAGGAGCCGGAGAACAAACCTCCAATCCCCAGCGACGATAGAAGCCCCAAATCCGATCCCAAAGACGGACTTCAGGCCACCAATGGAGATGGGAATTGGGGGAATTTCGTGATGGGCTCCGAAAATCAGAACGATCAATCTATGATTTCAACCCCCTCTTCCGGGTCCAAGAAATCGGTGCGTTGGAGCACCGAATTGGTGACCGAATCTCCGTCCGTCGCTTCGAATGCATATGGATCGAATTCTCATGCTTCTCGGGCCCCTTCCTCTTCACTTTCCTTCAAAGGTATTGTTTCTGTGAATGTTATATCCGGGTTCTATTTCATTGATTTTTATATGTACCTTCGTGCGGCGGAACTGTGGTCTTGTGGTAATATATGGGTTAAGGCATTAAATATTTCTATGCATTTTGATCAGAGGCGGTGGATTCTGTGTTGACCGCGCTTGGGAGATGGGGGAGGAAAGTCGGGGAAACTTCAAAAAAGGCTGAAGATCTGGCTGGAAACACTTGGCAGCATTGTAAGTTTTCCATTCTTCCTGTTTTTTGTTTTTTGTTTTTTGTTCTTTTGTTGGTCTTGCCATCCAAGAAGCCGACCCCGGTGAAAATTTGGACTAAATTTCAGAAGATAGTTTGCTCTTTTCATTTCTGTCTCACATTTATGAGGAAAAGTATTCCTTTTTATCCAAGTATTTCCTGAGCAAAAATTGTTAGTTCTTAGGATTGGAATTAGTCCTTAGGTGATTAATGGTAACTCTTTTTTGTTTTCTTTCTACTGGACGACCTCTGATAAGAATAAGATTACTTGGACGCTATACGGGATTTTAATTTAAAATTATTGTCTGTTTGTTAAGAATGAAATTTTGTTTTTTTAAGATTCAGAGGCTATATTTGTCAATGTTTATAAAACAGTTTTCAATATAAAAAGGCCAAAAGAAGAAATAATATTTTGCCATTTTAAGAATGTTTTTTAACGTTATCACCAGGTCCTATCTGCTTCTGTCACTGTACCTTGGCATGACATATTGTTTTTGTTCCATGTAACAGTTTCTTCTTATGAAGTAGAATGTTTATCATTTTATTCTCTCTGTCCAGTCAATGTTGGTATTGAGAGTACAGTACATGTAACAACTTACGAAATTAACAATAAATTAATAGTCTTGCTACCTGGTTCATGTTTAAAGAACATTGCATGATCTTCTTGAGTTTGTTGAATCCATATGATGATTGAAAGAATGATCTTTATGTTCTTTTTATACGGCTGAGGCTGTTTCATCAGGTTATTTGGAAGTTCTTTCTGTCGAGATACCTTTTTGATCGAAATCCACCCTGAACCATGGTGGTGGATTGTGAAATGTCTTCTCCCAGGAATTTTTTTTCCTGCTCATCAAGTTTACGAAATGACTAGTCTAAAATTTCTTTCAAGGATAGAACTTGAAGTATACGTTTGAAGTTCATCTTTTTCATAGAAGCGTCTATCTTACTAGTTAAAGTTTTGAGTGAATCCCTTCCCTAGTTCCCTTCACGACCAATCCTGATTTGTACCTTTCAATTGGACAATTGGCTCAAAAGTTAAAGCCTTATAGGCCATCCATTTGCATTCTACCCTATTCTTTTCCTTTAGGTTAGGAACTTAATAACCAGGTTTTACTAGCCTTATGGAGCTCCCATTGCCTCCTAACTTACCTCCTTCCCCTTTTTAGATGAGAACATTGTTTGTTCAAATTATGAAACTAACTGTTAAATAATTGGCAAAGGTCTTAAATGAGGGCTAGTCTGTTGGGAGAAACAATGTGAGATGATATTTTGATTGCATGCCTCCACATCTTAAGACAAACTATTGGAATATATCAAGGTCATTGATATTTTCAATATAAAGGTAAAATTACTTGGACTTTCATGACCTTCAGTGCTTTGATTGGAGGAACAACCTTTCATTTGGTCATTAAAAACTTCTTTATTCTTTCTTGAAAAAACCAAATTACTTTTCCTTTGAATAGTTCTTGATATATGGTTGAATGAAAAATGTCCATCCCAATCTCCCTCCTTACTTATTGGACTTGAATTTGTTAGATTTGGTTTGACTATAAGTACGAGAAGGGTTCAATAATACCTTTTTGAGAATTGGAAGTGGAAGTTTGTCCAAAATCAATCTTCAATCTCGCTGCTTTCCCCTAGATAGAATTTTTTTGGAAAGAAAAGGAAGTCTTCAAAGCAGGGCTTGCTAGTTGCGACAAAAAATCCCTCCCGAGGAAAATGAAAGTATTATGCCCCAGTTTCCCTTGGTTAAGTTTTGCTTCTTTTTGTGGAACTTTCACTTTTTTGGGAGAGGTTACGTCAGAGAAGGCTTGAAGTAGAGAACGCACATTGTAAGGTACTAACAGTGTATAAAAGCAAAGAATGTGGGCACTCTATTAATGACGTCTGATGTTATGATTGCAGCTTCCCCAAGTAGAATTTTGATTCCCTCATTTGGAACATTAAGGTTTTAGCTATATTAAAGAGATGGTAAATATGCATTTCAACCGCTCGTTTTATTTGGTGTGCCCATGTTGATACTTTTTTGGACAATAAAATCAACAAAAAATGTAATTTCAAGCTCCTCTTTGACTTCCCAATGCGACCTCCTAGCAGACATTTAAACCTTTTTAGTTTTAAGCTTATGGATCAAACTTGAGAGCTTAGCATTAGTTCATTGAACCCTCAAGTATTCAACAGAGAAGACTGCTGCTCCCTTGGGGTGCCACAAACTGCCTTGGTTTTAAGGATATCGTAAACTTGGTGTGGAACTGGGTCTTGACCATCTTGTTGCAGCAAGACTGCTTGAGATCTAAAATATCACCCTGAATAATAGTAGGCATCAATGTTCAGAAAGTTTTCCCTTGCAATGAACATCAAAAATATTACTAGTATTAGTATTAATTCTTGAATAATGATGGGACTAAGATTTCAAATAAGGGAGGATGCTGACCTGTCGTAATTTAATTTCATCATAAATACTAATTATTGGGAAACACGAGCTTGCATTATCCCTACAAATTTTCAAGTTTCCTAGAATATAGAGGCTTTAATATTTACAATCCCTCTGCCTGTAGTTTAAATCATGGATTAGTGGACCAGCACTCATAGAAAGAAAACTAGAGTTAACAATACACTTCTGGAAACCTTGTTTGAGAATCTAATGGAACCCTTTCTAATTATGGAAGATTAGGAATCCATTAAGAATTTTGTCTTCCTGATGAGTAGGGGAAGGGCTATATAACCGTGTGAGAAATATTAAATGTGATAAACCTGTCAACTGTTCTGTCATATTGGCAGCGGCTCTCAAATTAATGATACAAGAATTACTTTTCATCTTTTATGTATGGAAAAATGAAAAAGGAGAGATCAAAAGGATAATTATTAAAATATTCATGCTTTTGTTTCTTTTTAAGTTGGAAGCAGGAAACAATCATCAAACGGGCTCCGTACTTCTAAAAATAAAGTAAGAAGATTTAACTGTTTATACCCAGATAAGTTATTATTAAATTTCACCCTGTCATTATCTAAAACAAGATTCAGTATCCTTTTAGCTTACTTTGTCTTTTGCATTACGTTTATTTACAGTCTCTTAACGTAATGCTACTAATGTTGTATGATATTATTGAAACTTAGCCATACTTTCTTGAATCAGTGAAAACTAGTCCGAGTTTTGCTGATGCTGCGCTCGGAAGAATTGCACAAGGGACAAAGGTATTAGCAGAAGGTGGCTATGAGAAGATTTTTCAACAAACTTTTGATACAGTGCCTGAGGAAAAACTTCAAAATTCGTTTGCATGTTATTTGTCAACGTCTGCTGGTCCTGTCATGGGGGTTTTATATGTATCTACGGCAAAGCTTGCGTATTGTAGTGACAATCCTCTTTCATACAAGTCTGAGGGTAACACGGAATGGAGCTATTACAAGGTATTTTATTTTAGACTACAAGCTTTATAATGCCTACCTGAAGGCCATGGTAACAGGGGAGAACATTATGTATTCCATAAAACTGAAAATTTCTCTCTAGTTTCATTGTTCGTTGCAAATAATATACTTTCAAATCTCACCTATTTTCTCTCTTCTAACCATATCAAGTAACACAACTTTCAAGCTGAAAATTCGAACTTGTTGAAAACAGGTAGTTATCCCGTTACAGCAACTAAAGGCGGTTAATCCTTCCTCAAGTGGAATGAATCCTGCTGAAAAGTACATTCAGATCATCTCTGTAGATAACCATGAATTTTGGTTCATGGGCTTCTTGAACTACACTGGTGCTGTAGAATGCCTGCAAGAATTTCCCGAAGTTCGAGGCATACAGTCGGTTTAGAACTACGATATGTGGCTGAAGTTTCCACCAGTGTTTGCTCGGGCGCCTGCCAGTTCGTGAATTCAATCAAACTTCCATTTGCCAAATTTGGGTGTCATTATGGAGTCAGTTATGAGTGTACATGGTGTCTTAATTTTCAAGCATTCAGATAAAAATGATGCTTTTTTTCGTACAGATTATGATATTCTCCCATGGCAGCAGTGAAAGTAAAACTGTCTGCTATCATAAGTGGGGAAAATTTTATAGTCAAAATTTAAAGGAAATGATAGGTTTCATCATAATATGATGGGTCTTTGATCTCTCCTGTTCTACGTTTGCCTCAATTCATTTTCTTTTTAATTCTCAATAATTATATTATTCCACTTCTGCTCAGAGAAAAGAATATGGACATCATGATATATTAGTACTAAAAGTTCAATGATATCGAATGTGTTTGATTCTAGGACCGAAAAAAATTTTGAATAAATATTGAGAGAATTTATTTTTTTTTTTTAAATGTTCTTTTCCCTCTTTTTGGCAACGCTTTTTTTTAGAAATTTTATTCAAGGAATCAATGATATTGAAATTAAATATTTTTTAAACCTCATAGGACCTATTAGATTAGACTTGGACATAATCCTTGAAGTTCAAAAAATTTGTTAGAACATGGACTCTTCTACCCATATTTACTTTGAGTTCAACCGATCAAATCACTTTACCCATATTACTTTTTTATTTTTATAACAAAATAATAAATAAATAACATGTCTCCTCTCAAATAGTCATTGAACCGAATATAATTTAATATTCTTGAATCTAGAAACAAACCTACGAGATCTCAAAAGTAAACAAGTGAACTCTCGATGTATATAAATTAAAATCTTCCATCATTACAAGAATTGAGATTTAATTTATTAGATAAGATAGTCAAGATACATAAGGATCTAATTGCATCAAAATTACGTCTCTTCAATAAATCACAAGCATCCATCACACCGATTCCTCCATTAACTTGAAACTCTAAGCCTTTATTCATATTAGATGTAACTAAAGGGATGTAATAATGTCATAATCAAGGGATCAATTATTAACTGTTCATAAAGCACGCTTCAATTAGATCCACCTCCACCCACCGCCACTCACGCACTCTTTCGTTTCAATGTCAAATTTAATTAATTCAAGCACCTTAATTAATTTTATTTCCAAATTAATCAAATTTCGGACCCTAATTTCTTGGGCCTTTTCCTCGATATTAGTTAACCCAAGCCCATCGTTATGAAGCCCACCACCACTTTTGGGTTCATCATCATTATCATCGTCATTCTGACAATTTAGGTCTGACAGATTTTTTTTAATACGTTAATCCCAGGTGGGTTTGTATTAAATTATTGAAATGTAATCAATATGATTAAACGTATTGCTAAATAATAAGAATTCCTTGTCTTGTATGAATGGGATTCGTTTTGTCAGATGGAAATACAAAAACTTGTTAATTGTTTGATCTATGAATTGTAAAGAGAAATTAACAAAAGTCTTGATTTTTCCACCCAAAATTGCGTGGATTTTTTTCTTTAATCATATCATAACATAAAGTCCTAAAATATTCTCCTATGTAAGTCTATTTGAAAAAATGGTTCTCTTAGGCTTTAACAGCTCATAGTCTAATTAATAATATTAATTTGTTTTTATAAGGCAGAAACTTTAATGGATTTCAAAGGCCAAAGTATGCAATTCTACTGTATGATTAAATGATTGCATTTGGTAACAAAATTCTCTCATCATTATACTTTTAATGTTAAGTTAATATAAGTTTCCTACTAACACCTCTCTATCTAACCCTAAATCAAACTTTTTTCACTAATGCATGTCGGTGTCTGCTTTTGTTCAATGTAAGCAATCATGAGTTCATATTTAATCTCCATTTTGTCTCCAATAAAAAATTCTAATTTCATGGACCATTTGCGCTGATTTTATTGTTGCTAAGTGGGAGCACTTTTAACTTTTACAACCCTTAGCCTTGGCTAACTCAACGTATACATATAATTTTCAACTAATTTAATTGTTTTATATTCGTCCCTAGGATGATGATAGACCGGTAGACCTAATTTGAAGTCTCAAGTCCAAACCTTTAGTTAATCACAGTGTTGTTCAGCTCAGCTCAAACAACAACGAACCTTTATTTAGTAATCCACTATAAGTCATATAGGGAACAAAAGAATTTTTTTTTTTTTTTTTTTGAGAAAGATGAGTATATAGCCCTAATCTTAAAACCCGCATTTAAACCGTAATGAAATCAAGTTTTTAAGTTTAACTATATGGGTTTTGAGCAAAGGAAAAGATAAGATGATGAGGGAAAGAAAAAAGGTTTGATTTTTGTGTGTAATTGGAAACTGGGTTTTTGTGGTGGTGTGAAGTTATGATAACTTGTTGAAGAAGGGCGAAAGAGTGGATTTTAGAGAGAGAGGGAGAGTTTGATGGAAAATGTCATAAAAATTACCTATTATGATGATGCAGAGAGGGGTGGGTAGAGTTTTCAATTACACAGAAGAATTAGTGAATAGTCACTAAAAGAGAATATCTTCCATTAAGGTACAAACTAGATGCTAGTGGGGGAAGCACTTTGCAGTGTCACCCCCAAATATGGAACCATATAATTCAAGTTTCATTACCCTTTTCTTCACCAGACATTTAAATGCAACCCCATCCCTTTGTTTCCTTCCAACTTCCAACAACAACAAACCCACCTAATCTCTCCATTTCATCCAACATATATGAAATAACCCACTTCCATTTCATTCAATTACCCCATAGTTAACAAAGATTAGTTTATTAAACAGTTAAAAAAGAGAGAGTTAAGGAATAATAATAATAAAAGTTAATTATTGTTCATATTCTAAAATTGAGATAAATGTCAACGAAAGGGCAGAGTGGCATGGTGGGAAATGTCAGACTCTCTTTCTCTTGTTAAGCAGAGAGAAATGTGTTTGTACAGTAACAAATTATTCTGATCCTCACATGCATGCGTAATCTATTATCCCATCTTAACCCCTCTCTCTTTTCTGTCCTTTTGTTCTTCCCATAACTCCACCCCAAGAAAACAAGATTGATTTTTTTCTCTCTTTTTTTTTGGGGGGGGGAATTAAAAAGACACGTGCCATATTAATTAACATAACAAGATTGATTATTACTGTGATTGTGAAGAAGAAAACAAAAGGGGAGGATGGGGATGGGCGAGAAGCAAGCTGAGGGTCTGGGGGCCACTCTCATTAAAAAAGCTGCAAAAGAATATAGAAATGGAAATCACGGTCGTCCCACTCTTTCCCTCGTCCTGTCACCATCCACCCTCCCTTTTTCCCGCAATTCCCTCTCTCTTATTTTCTGCTTCACTGTGGCCTAATATATATATATATATATGTATGTATTTATTTTTAAAAATTATAATTTTTGGAGATGGCATTGGCAACTTTATAGAGTAAAGATATGGGATGACACAGATCAAAACTGTCCTTATTTTCTCATGCAATATCTGTATTTTATCGGTTTCCCGCCAGCTGACAGATCCCCAACACAAACACAGCATTATATAATTATTATAATTGTGGAAAAAATAGAGACTGTGGATGGATATTGGACGGATGAGATGAAGAAGGTGATGATGATGATTGATGATGATGTGATGTGATGTGATGGATGGTACTGCTACCTTCTCTCTCAATCTCTATCTCTATCTCCAAAGAGTTAAAGACATACATAAGATAAGAGAAGAGTGAAGAGTGTGTGTGTAATTGTATGGTGTTGTTGAGGCTAAAACTTGGCCCATTAATGGATTTTATATTATCAATCGCCAATCGCCATTCGCCATTCCCCCGGAACTTGGACCCTATCATTATTATTATTGCACCTTCCTCCACTTCAATTCATTTTCCCATTTTTCTTCCCATAATATAATTAATATCAAATATTCACACTCACACATGTGTTTTTCTGTTGTGCCTACGTTTTTCTTTTTTAGCCCACATGCTTCTATGAGAATTCCAACTGCTTAATCATAAATATCTGCAGTCCGTTGTTAGGTAATTTGTTGACATTTTTGTGTTGCTAATGCTGCTCATCTATAGCTATATATATCCCATGTCGGAGCTGTGTTTTTGATTTGCTGATTTCGCTGAGATTTGTGGTGTGTTAATTGAAATAATATTCTTGTGAGTAATACTTCATAAACGTTGTCGGTTTAGTTGGTATAAATAACAAAAATTTTAAGTTATTTAAAACTTTTTTAGAAAATAAATAGATATATAATATTGAGGATGAACTTTGATGCAATGGTTTTTACTTTATCATTTGATTTATTTGGCTCGAGAGAAACAATCGTCTCTTTTCAGATAATTATAGACGTGTAGCTCTTCAACTATGGGATAATATAAGAATGACTGCTTCCTCTTTGTCATCTAAATCAAAGTTCTTTTGTAATTATGATATTTTCACCATCTCTTTAAATTAGAGTGCTTTCCTTTAGTCTCCCGTATGTTTCTCACATACATTTTGAATGAATGGTGATCTTTTTTTTCAAAAAAAAATAACAATATTGAAGATGAGAATTCAAATTCAGGATTTTTTTGATCGAATCTTAACCCGTTTAACTACAGTCTCAGGGATGCATTTGAAAAGTCAAACTATAGAAAATAAATAAAATATTGAAAATTATATACATTTAGGAGGCAAACTAATTATTATTTAACTAATTTAAATTTTTTGGAAAACGTTATTCTTTTCTCCTTCAAATTTAGCTTCTGCTTTTTAAAAAAACAGATTACAAATTTGTTAATAAAAAAGCTTAATTTTTTAAAACAAATTCAATCTTCAACTTAATTTTAGCTGTCTTTTTTTATTTTAATACAGAAACACTTATATTTTGTAGACAAGACACCTTTTGTAATTGTAATGGTTGATTACAAAGATTTTTTTTTTAGCTATTTTTATTTTTAATAAAATACAATATAATGCCTTGATAAACCTAACATTTTACCAACCGCCAATTTTTTAACTGGGAACACCTTCTTCACTCTTTAATTAAGATTTACTAATCTACTTATACACTGCAATAAATGAAAATATCGAATAATGGTAAAACAAATCAAGATTTTCACTGCTAGAACAAACATAGCTTAACGACAATTAGTATATATTTTCAAAATGCTGTAAGTTCAATTCTCCACCCCACATATTATATTAAAAAAATCCAGATTTTCACTACACTAACAAATTTGGAGCAAATTTAAATAAATAAATTCAAATAACAAATAAGAATAATTTAAATCGGAATGAGAAAA